GGGTACTTACTCGGCTCTTGCCCCCCGCTCCTTGTTCCTTCCCTCTATCCTCTCAAACGGTGGGTCCCTTATCTGGGGAGACGCTTATCCGTCTTGCCCAAGGAAACCACGGCACTCCCGACACTTCCGTTTGCGGTCTGCGGTATCTGGCGCAGCTCTGGCCCGAAATCCCCCGCCCACGCCCGTCTCAAACTCTCGCTGATTCCGTCACTCCGCCGGCCTGGTGCCCACTGTCACCGACCATGTTTCCTATGTCTTCGGCATCGCAAGCCGCCAGATAACAGTGTTGCGACTCTCGCTTTTGTCCTAACCAGAGGTATCACATGGAGTTGGCATAAATCCAATCATCATTCCTTTGGCTGACTGTACAGGTAGGAAGCATCCTTCGGTCGCGTTGCAGACTGCGTCCGGCTAAGCAACCACCACATCCGATGCTGTGTACCGAACACACAAGATGCCGGCATACCCTCTATAATACTGGTGCATGCGCTCCTCCAACAGGATGCCGGTCCTCCTCTCTGTACTCGCGACACTATGCAAATTACCTGTCAACGTTACAGACTTTGGCTTCCCGGCGGGACCAGCCACAGGAGCACCCAATAGCTTTCGATGCTGTAGTGATACACTCCACGAAACGAGCAATATAGGTCAGGTTGCACTTGATTTACGCCTCTTTTCAGATGAGGCTCGAAGCAAGATATTCCTCTTCTCAGCAATGTTGAACAGCTAGCTTAGCCCTAGTAGTCTTCCAGTGGCTGCGTACTGTGTACAGCGAACCATCTCAACACCACAGGGCAGCGAGCGTCTGGCGGCCCGAGGCGCCCATATCACCTTTCATACACCTCCAGTTCTCGCTGCCAAATGACTTCCTCGGCTGGAGGCTGGTGTTGTCAACATCATTTTTCAACTGCTGTGCTCTGCTTCAGTCCCTCGTGGTCTCTACTAACGCAGCACGCCCGGGTTAACACACCACAGGTACGCCAACCCCGAACCACGGCGGCTGCCACTCTGCCACGGCGTTTCTCGCTATCCTTTTTCGGTCAGGTCCAGCAATTTGGGACAGTGAATGCGAAGCCTAGGAACAGGCACATTTCAATCGTCAAAGTGTATTGTCGTCATCGCTTGCTTTGGCTTCCAAGTTATGTGCCAACCACCCGGATACAGGTGCTAGAGACCATTGAGTTCGGATTCATGTCACAGAATGTGCCGGCCCATGGCTTCTCCCGCCCGATGGCCTCCGATTACATCGAGCCTCGATCGTCACCGTCATTGCCTTGACAGGCAGTCCCCATGCTGATCAGCGTAAGGGATCCCCCCTCTGCTCAAGTAGCCTCAGCGACCGCGGGGACTACAGCTCGGACGTCCGTCTGAGGACTCAAAATGCATGCTGCGTTTGTTGGGCGTTGTTGTGCATTGCATGGCGCCGCACGGCATGTCTGTCACCAACCGTCCCATGCGTCGACAGTGTAGCAAAAGAAACCTCGCAAACATCTTAAGGGACGGAATGACGTCGATGTATCGCTCCAGCAAATCGCATATGAACTTAACGGTCCAAGAAAGATTGAGTCTATACCACTTTGAACGTTTGGCTATGTATCACATTAGATACTATAGCAGTCGCGTTACAGCTTACCAGACGTTATCCTACCATCGTGTACTACTTCAACTGTGCGCTCAAGCAAATCGGCCAGCCAGTCGATGTACTCCATTTCGAAATAGGCCACCATTGCACAGCAAACCCGCGGGGCTCATCTGTGTCCTCCGAGAGAGCGTGCCTTGATAACGCCTGGAATTAATTACCCTACTGGATGGATTGGACGCCTCAATCCTGGTCCATCTCACGATGTTGCGCTAGTCACAACTTGAAAGTGCCAGTAGTCATTAAGGGAAACCCCAGTAATCCCACTATCACATACGTAGTGTACGTATCCGTACATACGAAAAGCAAAGTCTCTTGAGGACTCCATTGCGGCGGAGCCAGGCACATTCGCCAATTGGCTAGGGATTGAGGAGACTCCTTGAGAAAACGGCATGCAGACACTTTTACGTTTTCTGACTGGACAAGGAGTACAATCAGCAACCCAAGGAACTCAGTCCGACTGCGAATGTCCTCACTCTTTAGACTTGGGTCTTGGCATGCGTCATTGCTGGGGCTTTTCTATGCGTTCACGCCCGCCAGTCCATGTCAAGCCCGCGGACCCTTTTCCCACCAAGACGCTTCTTTGCAACATGACTGGCTACTGGCTTTGCCCGACATTCTGCACCAGGTAAACCTAGGCATCAAGGGTCTTGTTAGCCTTTTGCGAGTCGCAGGTACTTAGGATAAGGGCCCCTCAGGGTGTGCGATTAGCTCGGAGACCCTGGTCCTGGCTGGCGCCCGTTACAGCTTGTACTTTACACATTCACGATGCGCCAAGTTGAGGTTTGTCAGAAACTCAATGGACCCGTCATCCCTTCGACGATGGTCGGCTACGACAGATGGGGCTCTGGCGATTTAGTCGAGTTATCGCTCGCAAGAGCACGTCATTCCACCTCGCTAGCAAACAAACCCGGTGCTCAACTGTCGTGAGTCTTCTCAAATTTCGGACTCGATTGCCGGGCTTTTCTCCTTGGGCTTGAGTCGTAATTTGACCATGTTTTGCAACAGTTGCTCACCACATGCCGGATGTTAGCACCAAAGACGTTCAAGTTCCAACAGATCGATCGTCCAGCTTGGGAGGAGATATTCAGGACCAACTGCCTTTCCGGATCTCGAATCCCATCGCTACATCTGTACATCTCTCGGCTACAGCGTCTATCCCACAAGATAAACGGTGGTCATAGCAATGCTTGAGTCGTTGACGGCCCGCTAGTGAACAACCCCAGATGATCCCAAAGGTGGTGATGGATCAACGGATGGTCGTTGTGGATGGTCAGCTCCACGTGAGGATGAAGAGATCAAGCGATCCGCGAGATGAGACTGGTGTGGACTGAGCGTTTGGCGCGGCCACCATGGACGGTTGCGGCGGTTGGGCACATGCACCTGGATCGACCCCTATCTCACGCATCGCATTGTCGTTGGAAGTCCATGGCACGATGACACTATTCATAAAGGTCCACGTGCTGGTTTCTACCAGATTGCGACATTTTTTGTCAGCCTCACATCGTCCCGAGGCTTGCCACCGTTCAGAAGCAGATCAGGCCTTCAAAGCATTGCCGCGCACATCATCTCAGCTTCAGTCGTCCTCATGCAGGTAGGCACATGGAAAGGCACATGAGACTTCATGAAGATGGACTTTATCCGGCGACTTCATTTCCCAGGACGCAGGTCCATCACGTTGCCAAGCGCAACCATCCACTGCAAGGTTGGCTTGGACGGCCCGATACCAACAACAAACGCCAATCTCTCTCCTCCGGGCAGCGGGATATTTTCCAGCACAGGCAACTCTAAAATCTGGAAATAGCTCAACACACTCCCATCGTCGGCGGCCTCACCTGCCTTTCACCCGGCGGGAAATCCCACTGCACCTCAGCGCTTACCGCCCAGATGGACGTGGACTGACTCGGTTACCTTCTCACTTCTACCCCGTGAAATGCTACGGATGTTTATCGGTATTTTAGGTCACATATGTATGTTCTCCATGGGGTTGACTATGCACGTTGACCAAAAAAGACAGAAAAAGTCGCCCGGGCAGCACCGCATCACGTTCCCGAAGTGGGGCCGATTTTCTCCGATCCGCACAAAGTTTCAACATCGGTGTCTTCTGTTCAATGTTCTCATTTGGTCATTTCAACTGCCACTCGCTAGATGTATTCAGCTGCTTTCCGATATTTGCCCTCGGCCGACAAGGTGGGATTTGAGACATACCTAGGCTTTCTGATGCCACAAATATCGGCACCCATCTTTTCTATCAAGCTTGTGGCCGTTGATGCACAAACACCATATGGAACTTGGCTTGTGATAGTGCAAGACCTTTCAGCCTCTGGCTGCCTCCGGCTGCCCGGGTCCTTCGCCTTCACAGAATTTACTACCTTTTGCTGCACTGGGTTACTGGTTAAGGGTGTGCTAGAAGTTGACTGCGGCTAGCGCGCCTTTTGCAAAAAAGTAAATTCGAGCTGACATCAGCAATCTGTTGGTGCAATCCTGTAGAAGGGCGATTGACAGCTAGCCATCGGCGGCGGTCGGCTAGGCGGCAGGGCAAGACACCCTTGGCGGGACGGCATCCGTGGACCATCACGGTAGTAGGCCAAGAGGCGGAGAACGACCAGTCCGAAATATGTTCGGCACCGTCCTCAACATCGGCTTACCACGGGATCATTCGTGATCTGTCCATTCAAATGCGCTTCTAGTTCAGTCACAGCCAACGGCCCTAGACGATATCTTTGGGGACCCGATGTGTCAAGAATACGGTTGGCGGCGGTCTACCTCTCAAAAAACGCAGCTCGCTGTCGATCGATTCGCGTCGGGAGTTTACACGGTAGGACTCTATGCAGTTCAGAAAAAGCTGAGAACTGAGCGGTTCAATTCGCCGGTGGCGAGATGCAGCAGACGCGGTGCCTTTTTCGCTGACCCAACTTGCCAGCCAAGTCGCTGGTCAGAGCCATGTCCGCCATGCGCGCGTGTTATGCACCGACACCGCACCTCCCTCCCGTGCCTCTCTGGGCGGGTGCAGATGCGAAGACACGTCTTGAAGTCGAGTGAAAGCACATCTCCGCACTGCATTTGCCTCTGCGGGGAACAATCGGTACAGAAAGGTGCTCCCCGAGTCCCCAGACCAACCAGCGGAGCACTCCTTTTTGGTTTTGAGGAGAGGGAGGGAGGGGCTGCTATCTGTACCCGCAAAGATAGTGAAGGCGTTCGTGGAGCAGGGAGATAAACGTGTGCCCGACGAATTCTGTGCGGGTTCCCACTGCTGAGTAGACACACTTTTCTACGTAGAGAATCCGCCGTGGAGCATGCGCCGTCCGCTCTGGTTGCTTGCTCCATCGCCTATCCTTGCCCCGTCTGCTCGCAGCTAGGATTATGGGTCATCGGGGATTCGTATCGTGCTAGAAAACCCCCCAGCGTCTACAACACACACGCCGTTGTGGAGTTTCTCTACGGATACATGAGTAGGCGAAGAAGCGGCTACCTTAGCCGCTACGAATCGTCTGGGTTGAACGTTGATCCAGAGTCGAGATGGAGACCTCGCTGAGGGTCCATCCACATCGTGAACACCCTCACGGAGGGGCCCACGAGAAGATGCGGTCCAAAGAGGAGTCTGGACGTTCGAGACCTGACGATCGCAGTCTATTTCTCCATTGTGATTGATACCGCAGCCCAGTAGTCTGGAGGGGAGTATGAACTCCTTCATTGAGGCAAGTTCCCTGACGATCCCGTGGGAATTCTGGGTTCTCGTCAGATCATGGTCCTCTGAAGTTCTGAATCGCGATCGGTCATCTTTCCAAAAGGAGTCTCTTTATTGTTGTGACCTTACAGCCCTTAACCCGTGCAGGTGGACTAGCGATAGGGCCACAATCATGGCTTTCCAGTCGTGGGTTGAGCCCTGGGTTACAAGTTTGATATGCTCGTCTTCAACATCCGCATGGCACTCAGTCATCAACATTATAGCCACATCCCGAAGAAGAGTTTCCACAAAGTCCTCATCGTCGTAGACGATTGCGTTTTCCTTCATAATGGCACCTTCCGCTCCCCACATGGCGCCATGAGACGTCGTCGAGAGTACGCAGTATGTCTTGCGGGCTGGATGCCCACTTCCGACTTCGAGTATAATAAGTACCCGCAATCAATGAGTATATGGAACCCATAGCCATCTGGCGTTCTGGGACCGTCGTTTCTCTTGTACTCTGCGACGATCATCCCTTCCCATAAGTACACCTGCCGACACCGACTGAAAAGTGTCCGTGTAGACTCAGGGACAAGATCATGGCGTTTGGGTAAATCTTTCCAAGCGACGTCTTTTTAAAGATCGTACTATCTCCCATTTCGGTCCGCTGGTCTCATGTTCATTAGTGATGCAACTTGGGATGGAGGATAGTGAGAGCTTGTAAAGCGCTGCTTTACCGATCAAGGACGGCATCCCCTACTGTCCACTACTCACAACATCATGATGAGATGTGTGGTTGTTCAAGGGACCACCTCCAGAGTCTTAGTCCGACAATGCACGACTGCTGCGTGTGAAGTTCGACCTTCGCGTCTACCACATACTAATATCCAGTCGACTAGCCGTAGGTCTGATTCCATGTATCGAAAGCCTGATATCCCAGCCACGGCAGAGAGCTATAAACTGACGCGTTTAGGGCTAAGAAACTGTTGCGTTGCTCGTGAACAGCGCGTAAGTTGCGCCTCATACCGAGAAATCAGCGCATCCAGACGCGTCCGGGGCTCACTTCCGTGATCATATGGCTCTTCATCACCTCTGAATTTCTTGAAACGATTGAGATGTAGGCTTCTGAATTCTCCCTGGGCACTACTGAATCAGGCTCTGCAAGAAATATTCGCGCTTAGACTTGGCGGCAACTCGTGACGGGAGTGATACACTGTGCGTGAGATAGTTCGTCGACATTGATCAGACACTCTCTACTGATTCTTTGGTTCGCAAGTATATCAGAAAATGGGCAAGGAAATCAAGTCACTAGTAGGTTCGCAGCGGAGGAGAGAATGTGTCTTGTACTGTTTATGTCTCTGCCCGCTACGAGAACATATGAAAGGGCGCTATCTACTGACCAAAAAGTTAATGAAAGAGAGCCTTTCTCAAAGAGGAGTCCAAGTGACAGCAGATGAGTAGATTGTGGTCTCGATAAGAGGTTTGGAACAAGACTAGAGATTCCACCATGACCAAAGGCCAATCTCTTTTGACACATGAAAGCACGGATACAACGGAAAGAACCCAACACAGAACTCGGTATACCTCCAGCCCGAAGACTTCACTTTGAAATGGCAAGGGTTCCAGCCATCAATGGAACAACAATACGAGTCTGGCATTAGCCTCTTCACTGCAGCCCTGGCATTTTCCCTTCCATCCAACCCAGGACTTCATGTTCAGAAACTCAGCAAAGTCAGTATAAGCTCGAAGGGTCGACTCACCTCGTAAGTAAGCATTTGTGACAATTCCATGCCAGGTGCGTCTTGTAGAATAGATGCCTGTGGTTTGATATACGCTGACGAGATGATTCAGATCCTATGTCACACCCGACATGGATACTTCGAATGAACCGACGCCATACTCGCTACTCATATTCCGGAATGCTTCTAATTGCACTCCTGTTCCGTTCCTACATACTAGGTCAAGAGGATCTCGGTGCAATAAAACGCTTCCCCATGACTTATCCGCTGCTGAGTACTGAAACTTTGAGACGTTTATCATAAAACTAGGATCACCGAGGTCTCAGATACCAAATATTGGAAGCTGAATTCCTTCAATATTGAACCACGGAGTCAGAAAAGGCGGACATCGAATGTAAAATACCAATGTTCAAGGGGGAAAGTGCATGTCTTTCTTGCGTGGATGCTCCTTGTCCTCCCAAAAAAAGAAAATCTAGATTCGTCTTTACACCTTTGAGATATTCCTTTGCGTCGTGCATTCTATACACAGGAGAGTGCGAGTAGCAAGCAATATCACGAGTACAAAGTGGACTCAGGTGTAGACAAGATTTCTTCATTTTTGTAGGCTGCTGGCTTCATCGGGGCGTGAACCGCTCTTCACGCCACCCCTTCTCTTTCCAATTTTATAAATCTACCAAAGGACAAAGGAACATTATTCATTACAAGTTGGAGTACTTCTTGAAAGCGCCAATCAGACCGCCAGTGGAGGCGTCGTGGCCCTCACCGTTGCCGGCCTCGTCAAGCTCCTTGAGAATCTTCTTGGCCAGGACCTTGCCCAGCTCGACACCCCACTGGTCAAAGGCGTTGATGTCCCAGATGGCGGCCTCAGTGAAGGTAAGGTGCTCGTAGTAGACAATCAGAGCACCAAGCTCGGCGGGGCCAATGTGGCCACCGACCAAGATGCTGGTGGTGGGGCGGTTGCCGAGGAAGATCTTGTGGGGGACAAGCTCCTCGGGGGCACCCTCGGCGCGGACCTGGTCAGCGGTCTTGCCGACCATCAGGGCCTCAGCCTGGGCAAAGTAGTTGGAGGCGAGCATCTTCTGGTGGACACCGTCGCCAATGGGGTTGTGGCTCTTGGCGGCCAAAATGAAGTCGGCGGGGATCAGCTTGGTACCTTGGTGGACGAGCTGGAAGAAGGAGTGCTGGGCGTTGGTGCAGGGCTCGCCGAAGAGGATGGGACCTAGTCATGGTTGTTAGTCTTTAGGAGCATAGTCGTATCAAGGCATGTTCTTACCGGTGGTGTACTTGGCGGGAGTTCCGTCAGAGGTGATGGTCTTGCCATTGGACTCCATGGAAAGCTGCTGGAGGTAGGCAGGGAAGCGGTGCAGGTACTGGTCGAAGCTGTTTGCGACTGGTTAGAATCAAACAATCTATTGATGCTCGGCGTAGGAAACACTCACGGAGCAACCAGGTGGGTCTGGGCCTGGAAGAAGTCAGAGTACCAAACGCTCAGGAGACCTCCCAGAACGGGGATGTTTTCCGCAAGGGGAGTCTCGCGGAAGTGCTTGTCCATCTCGTGGGCACCGGCAAGGAACTTATGGAAGTTGTCGTAGCCGACGTAGATGGCGACACTGAGGCCAATGGCACTCCAGACGGAGTAGCGACCGCCAACCCAGCTCTCGAAGCCAAACATGTTCTTGGCGTCGATGCCGAACTTGGTGACCTCCTCCTCGTTGGTGGACAGAGCAACAAAGTGCTTGGCGATCTCGCCCTTGCCGTCCGTCTTCTCGAGGAACCACGACTTGGCCGTGTTGGCGTTGGTGGTGGTCTCCGCGGTGGTGAAGGTCTTGGAGGCGATGAGGAAGAGGGTGGTCTCGGGATCCGAGTTGGCGAGGGCCTCGGCCATGTGGGTACCGTCAATGTTGGAGACGAAGTGGAGGGTTTGGTCCTTGGCACCGTAGTGCTTGAGGGCCTCGGTGACCATGACGGGGCCGCTGCGAGGGATGTTAGTTCGAACGTCGGAGGCTTCTCTGTGTTCACAGGTAAGAGGGGGGGGAGCAGAAAAGACTCACAGATCGGAACCTCCGATACCGACGTTGACAATGGTGGTGAGCTTCTTGCCGGTGTAGCCCTTCCACTCGCCGCTGCGGACCTGCTCGGAGAACTCCTTCATGTGCTCGAGAACCTCGCGGACACCGCCCTTGTTGCCCATGACGTCGACACCGTCAACCTTCATGTCCCAGTCGCCGACGTTGCGGAGGGCGGAGTGGTAGACAGCGCGCTTCTCGGTGAAGTTGATTTTCTCGCCGGCGAACATGGCATCGCGCTTCTTCTCGAGGTTGGCCTGCTCGGCGAGCTTGACGAGGAGGTGGAGGGTCTCATCGTTGAGGAAGTTCTTTGAAAAGTCAAAGAGGATGTCGGTGCCCGAAGCCGAGTTCTTGAAGGTACGGCTGAACTTGGCGAAACGATCCGTGTCGGCTGCGAAGGCTTCCTTCAGGACAAAGTTCTTGCCGACGTTGTCGCGGTGAGCCTGGAGCTCGGCCCACGCGGGAAGGCTGGATGCTTGAGGCATTTTGGGCGGTATGGAGTGTAGTCGATAGAAGCTAGAGATTGGACGATGGTGATCTTTGGAGGAAGAGAACGTTAGCAACGGGATTCTATGGGCATGTGTGCAGGAGTGGTGATGGGAAGTGTACCTCTTGGGTATCGAATTGACCAAGTGAAGGTATATAGAGATCAGGCTAAAAACAAGAAAAGGAGGTATGTAAGAAGTCAGGTTAGGTAGAAGGTGTGTGTGTGTGTTGTCGTGGACTGACTATGACAGTGGGAGGAGCAGGACGGGGAGAGTTGCGGCGGTTCTACTGGGACCCAAGCAACCGTGGAAGTGAAAGTGGGATGGAATTGGATGGGTGCGGCGTTCAGAGCTTGAGAGCAGCCAATGGGAGGGCTCAACTCGAGGTGGCATGTCTGGCGTGGAGGGGTAATTGCGTACAAAAACACTGCTGGAACGCGGGGCATGGCACGCTGTATTTGCACCGAGTGACAGTGGAGGGCCTGGGAAGCGGAAGCAAAAGCACTGACCTTGGGGGGGAGGGGAAATGACGCCAGGTGAATTACCTAAGCGTACTAATGTACCTCAAATACCTAGCAGAGATTCTGCAAATGGAAGAGAGCTACCTAAGGTACACGGAAGCTCAGTAAGGCAAGTGCAGGGGATGAGGTAGACAGATGGGGGTATCAATGTTGGTAGGTTAGAGAAGATGGGAAAATGCAAGGCAGAGGGAGAGCAAAGAGGGAAAGGGACAAGAGCAAGAGGATAAGCAATGTGGGAGGGCTGCGCTTTAGAAGAAAATGGAACACGAGACGACGATACCTCTCACAAGTTCACCCTTCACTTACGGATATTGTCAAGGCCGTCGGATATCTCTCACGAGCTGCGGTAACTTACCTCGAGAGAAGTGGGCTGGGAACCGGGTCCCGTCGCTATTGTTGAGTGAATTGGTGAGGTCCTCGCCCAAGTTTCTCCGTCATCGTCCACCGTCATACCCCCTGCTCCGCCGTGCCCCCCGCCGGCGTCGCTGTGACAGCCCCGAAGCAGAACGAAGCTTACCTAAACACACGATGCCATGCTCCGTACCTCGCACTTCCCTCGTTTCGACGGTCTCCCAGCCATCCACTAACACCTATCGCCATCTTCCATCCACAATCTCAGCCAACCGTACCAATTGACGCTCCTCTTTCTTATCTGCTATATCCGACAGCCGATTACTCATGGCGGATGCATTGAAGCTACCTTAATAACCCCCCATCCAACCCCCCACCAACCAAGTCCCGCGGACAAGTTCATTTTTTTCGGCCCTTGAACTGGAGCCTTAGTGTACCTGCCTGCTCCCCGGGATAATGAGATATTTTGTCTTCGGGGCAATTCCGTCCGGGGAAATACTTGAGGCTGTTCGTGGAGCACATAAACTCGGCCTCCGACCCCCTGCGGCGACAAGATGTGCAACCTGGAAATCCATTGACTTCCTCAAGCAGCTCAGTTGAGGCTGGCATGCCGCAAAACATCGTGAACCTTGAGACGACAGGTCTTGAAGCGGTCACTCCGATATGGTGGGCCCTGCGCTGACTAACTCCCGCTACATCCCGTCCCGGTAGATCCGACGTCCGATCTCTTTTGTCAGACACCACCATTGACGTCCCGGCCCGATTCCGTCCTCTATCCCCAGGCGGGGATTTGTCAACATGTACAAATTCCAAGTTTGCAACTTACATTTCTTAGCATGTTAGCTTAGAGGCCTATGAGTTGGAGATGCCACCAAGGATTGAGGGTGCATCACTACCATGCCGAGCTGGACGGTGCAGAAAGAGATGCCCGTGAAGGATGATGCTGAGAGCTGATTCGTCTGTCTGTCTGCTCAATGATTTGTGCCTATCTACATTTCCTTTTCCCCAAAAGGCGTCATCATGCCCATTCCAAAACGCCGTACAAAGACGAAGATGCAAAGCTGTTTGTTGTCGAGTGCGCGTGCGCACTCAATGTGCCCCCGACCATTCCCTGTCGAGTTGCTTTGCTGTAAGCTTAGCTTAAGCTAAACCCTTGAATCACCAAGCCCACTCCACACAATATCATGCTTCGCTTTCTGTCTAGCCCTGCCCTGCTCTGCCCCTTTGCCGAGCCTGCTTCCTCCCCAATTCTATTCTTCAAGCATGCTCAACTCGTCCATTGACTCGTCGTGCTCAAGCCCCCTATCGGTTGTCCTGGATGCTGCCCACAAAGGAAGGGTCCTTGACACTGCCTCCGGCATCACCCAGGCCCGCAATAGGTCGGTTATAGCTGAAGCCCTGGAACTGGTTCTGCATCGTCTGCGAGAGCATCGGGCCCTCCACGTACGAATCCTGGGGTGCTTCTGACGTGAACTCGGGATCGAAGTTGGCTGTATCGAGAGCGTCCACCTGAGAGAAAACACGCGTTAGCGGAAGCTGCCATGGGAGCAAATCACATTTTTTCTTTTTTTGGCATTGCCATCATCATATCATTACTTACCACATTGGGCTTGAACGCAGGCTCGTACTTGCGCTGCAGAAGCTTGCGCCAGTCAATGGCGTGGAAGAAGGGATGGGCCTTAATCTCGGCCGATCCATTGGCACCGAGACGCTCCTTGGGGTCGCGGTTGAGGAGCTTGGTCAAGAGATCCTTGGCCGCGGGGGGCACGACGTCATGGCCGGGGAAGTGGAGAGGCTCCGAGAGGATCTTGCGATACATCTCGTTCGTGTTTTCGTCGTAGAAGGGGGGCAGTCCCGTCAACATCTCGTACAGGAGAACACCAAGGGTCCACCAGTCCACCGTCTTGTTGTAGCCCTGGCCCATGAGCAGCTCAGGCGCCAGGTACTCGGGCGTACCGCAGAATGTGTTGGTTCTGTCCTCGTCCTTCATGTCCAGCTTGCAAAGGCCAAAGTCGCAGAGGGCAATGTGTCCCTGGTAGTCGAGGAGAATGTTCTCGGGCTTGAGATCGCGGTAGATGACGTTGAAGCCGTGGAGGCACTCTAGAGCGCAGAGGAGTTCGGCAGTGTAGAAGCGCGAGCGGTTGACGTCGAATCTTTGCTCCTTTTGGAGGTGGTGGAAAAGCTCGCCTCCGTTGACAAAGGCCAAGACGAAGTAGAGCTTCTCAGGCGACTGGAAGGTAAACTTGAGAGGAACGATGAAGGGGTTGTTAATCTGCGCCAATACCGAGCGCTCGGCAAGGGTATGGGCAACCTCGGATCTGGAGATGATGTGTGCTTTTCGAATCGTCTTGAGGGCGTAGATTCTGTTCGTGTCCTTCTTGCGCACCTGCATGACCTTGCCAAAGCTACCCTTGCCCACCACCTTGAGCAGCTCAAAGTCCTCAATCTTGAGCTTTCCGGCGCGGTTCTCGACGTACTCGACACCGATCTTGACCTTTCCGGTTCCGTACTGCACATCCACCCATTCGACTCCGCTGTGGCCGAGGGCGCGCTCGCGAGCGGCAAAGTCAGCCGCAGCCTTCTCGCGATCCTTCTTGCTCAGCTTGGGGTCCTCGACGAACTGGTGCTTCTCCTCGAAGCGGGGGTTGATGCGGGCAACACCGAGGAAGATATCCTGGCTACGACCGGATCCGGGAGTAGCGAGGGGGTTGCGCATGTACAAGTGAATGACGAGTTCCGTCACGCGAGACACATCGAACTTGTACTGGGTGTTTCCTCCGGCCCAGAGGGGGTTCTCTGGTGTTCCCTCGACCGAGTTGACGAAGACCTGCATCTTGTCGAAATCCAGCAAGGCGTAGGGCATGTACTTGCCGGAAATGCGACCATGGTTGGTAGGAATTCCAGTAAAGCCACCGCCAGATGTCTGTGGCCGAGCCGCGCCATTGATGAAGGAGCCGACAGCTCCTCGTTGTGAAGAAGAGGGACGCACGGAGCCGGCGACGCTGAGGGCACCGCCTGTGGACAGCGAACCTTGGTGTGAGGAGGCGAATGCTGCTCTGTGTTGTTCGGGGAGGGAGAATCCGTGGCCCTCGTGGAGGGTGACGACGAGAATACCGGGCTTGGGAGGGTTGACGACTGGTACTTGCGCCATGGCCTCAGAGGCAGCTGTAGTAGTGGGTTAGTATCAAGACAACAAGAGTAATGGGTCGGTCGGTATGGGGATATTGGAGGTTCGTGGACGGGAAGACGTACCGATAGTGTTTTCGTTCGTGGGAGTGGCCGAGCCTGCAATGTTGGCCTGGGCCTTTTCGCTGCTGTCGGTAATGGTAGATGTAGAGGGGGATCGAGAGAAGGTGTTGGCCAAGGGACCCAAATGGGTCTCCTTGAGCTTCTTCGTCAACTTCCACGACATTTTGGCAGGAAGAAGGTACGAAGGAGGGGGGGATTTATTGCCGAGCGCGCAGATGGCGAATCGGACTAGTGACGATGAAAATGGGTGTTGAGAAGTCAAAGTCGGGGTGATTGATGGTGCGTGCGATCGAAGGTGAGGAGAGTGCCGTCGAGAGAATGCGAGGTGGTGAGGTGAGGTTTGGGTGAGCCTTCGGGGTGAGGCGAAGCGAGTCGAGGCGGGGCGAGGAATAAAGATTGTTGTTTGGTGTTTTTGGGGGTGCGGTAGATAATGCACAGGTAGGTACGGTACTAAAGAGTAAGGTACGGTACGGTACGAGCACGGGTACGGGTAGGAGAGGATTCAAAGAGAGAGGGTATGTATGTGTGAGTGAGAGAGAGAGGAGTGGTCGCTCTGGGGTCGTGATTTGTTGGTGGAGGTTCAAGGTTGGCGTACAAAGACGCTCGTTGGATCGTTGTGCTGGAGGAACCCCGCAAATTCCGCCCCCTCTCTTACTGCGTAGGCCTTTGGCTTCTTTTTTGGGGGTGGACGGACGGTACGTGTGTGGTGAGACAATCTGGCGCCGCTGGGCTGGGAGGTTTGGTTGGTTAGCTGGGTTCTGGTCGCTGTTGCTGCTGCGCTGCTTGGTACCTTGTGCTGGGGATATTGCTGACAAAAACGGGGTGACGGGGTGGCACAGTGGTGCAAGATTCCAAGTTCCAATAGAAATCCAGTGGCACTGTGGGTGGATGGCGGGGTGAGGAGTGTATGTCTGTAGGAAGAAGAAGAAAAACCCGCAGGACAGGGGCCGAAGAGGGAAGAGAATACTGCGAGATGCGAGGTGTGGAGGAGAGAAGATGAGGAAGTAGAAGAGAAAAAACCAGAAGGGATTCTGAATTCCTTACCTTGGTTCAGATGCTATCCTCAGCCGGGGAGATGTTACGGGCTGAGCTTGGGAGCTGAGCAGTACCGGGTACGAAGTTGGGTACGGAGTAAGGTAAGGTAGGTATAGAGTAGACGTTGCTGAGGAAGGGAGGGCGGGATGGAGCCCAGGGCAGAAAAGGAGAGGGAGGCACAGGCGACAGGAGGTACTTTCCTTACGGGTAGGAGCCGAGAAAGGTAGGAACGGAATACAAATTAGGTAGCTCCTGCCACAATTGTGTCTTAATTCACTTTAGGGGTTTTTTTTGGATGGGATTCAGGGGCTTCTTTTCAAAGAAAGACAGTTTGCTCTAACTTTACGAAAAGTAAGCACGGAGTACCTTAGGTAGTGCACTCGAGATGCGGAGTCTCATCCAGATTCACAAGCAGTAGCCAAGTTGGGACAGGATTCAGGAGGCACAGGAGGGATGGGAATAGGAGGTGCAACAAGACTCAGGACTCAGGAGGCGGTGCATTTGGGGCCCTGGGGAACTTGGAAGGCAAGAACCTAGGGGTCAACGAGAGGGGGGACAATGATGAAATCTCTCGAGTCCACGCCTGGGAAAGCCCGTTCTGACACTCACACGGTACGGGGAGAGCGATACAAGTACCCGGCAAGAGGCGAGACATTTTGACAAAGGCACAGGGAGTCAGAGACATGCTCTTCACACAGTAAAAGCCCACATGGCAGAGAGGGGCGGTGGACACGGGAGAAGGGGTACGAGACAGGTACAGTGTCCTCTCACTCGAGGACTGTGATTACCAAAGATTCAAGATGCTGACCAAAGCTGCACAGCAACAAGTTAACAATCCGTTTCCCGTACCTTAGCTCGTTACCCCCCAATTTGGCCACCAAATTGCCTCTCTTTTCCACCAGCCAACCATGTCTCTCAAACCCCCGGCTGCCTCTTGCTGAACCTGGGCAACTGGGCAACCGGGCTGATGGGTTGACGTCCAACCTCAATCAACTGCCAACTAAGCGAAAGTCAATCCAAGTTGGATATTGCGCCTGCATGTACATTGGGCATCGGGCACACCTGTATTGCAAGATATTCGACATAAGGTAGCTATGACTGTTCCAATGTTATCTACCAAGGCTGCTTTGGCCGGTATCACACATATGAACGTTGCACATTGCTGGGTGATGCACAACACCTACCAGGACATGGCGAATGAACAAACCGTACGGCATTCCATCCTTATATGCGTGTTGTGCACATGGACATATCGTTCATGATGGATATCCGACTGCCATACGGACTGAACTAATAAGGTATCATACGGAGCTACCTGATTCCCATGCACTTCGTCTGTTCATCAGCGGATCCAGGATTCAGTGGCTCGATAGTCCCTCAAATGCCCCTTGTGTATCCGTATAATATGTCTGCGTAAAAGCACCTGCCATCTGCAGCCCGGAGCCCCATCCCACCAGAGCCCAAGACTCGGACTAACAATTGACAAGTTGGGAGAGCCCGTTGCAATACGTGCACTAGAGGCGGGAGCCCTGCGTCGATCCGTTACAGCGCGGCGCACGTGAGCCAGGGGACCCCATCCACGGGAAGAAGTTGCACTGTGTTTGCGGCCCATTGTCAAATCAAAGCGGACTTGCAAGTGACACAGTATCAGAACGGACACCTATTTCCCTAGGGGCAACTGGGCAGCTGAACTTAGGTAGGTACTCGAGGAAAGCTTCCTTTGCATTATCCGAGTGTTGAGAAGATCGTCTTTCGAAGCTCGCACTCAAGAAGAGTTGCCTGTGATTGACTGCTCTTTGGCATTGTGGACGTTTCGTCAGCCTTACTACTCCTCTTCCGCGACGATCGACCCATGTTGATGCACAATTATGCCATATCAAGCTGGCGCATGATATGTCGAGTCTCGTCGCTCGCAGGTACGGGGTTTAAGGGGAACAATGCCGCCGGTGGGATGTGAAACTCACGACTACTTTTCATGTCACGTGCAAGCTCTACTGCACCCGACTCCTGAAACCGCGGAATCTGAACATCACCGGACTTCCCACGTGATCTCGTCCAATCTGCTTACATAACTCACACCTGGCTCCGAGATGGCATGAACCCACCCACAATCCCGGGAGGCTCCATTCCTTCCAGACTTGGGGTGGAAACAGCGAAAACGGGGCCTAACGGGTTGCCACATTCGATGCTTCACCGAACTCAGACGTGTTCGGTGAACTTTTTGCCCGTGATGCCATTGAGCCTCAAGTGAGCGCATCACCACAACACAGCAAGTCGAGATCAAATGGCAATGCTTGCCGGTCAAGACATTGTCGCCGACTCGTATCGGGGAATTAGCAGCTAACTAGCCAGGAAGGATTCAGCCCCTAGCCAGGCACGCCAGGCTGTCCTCTACGCCTCTGGCGCAAAGCACCGACTAGCCCGACATCTATCAGGCCATCATGCCATGTTGTCCCTAATCATTCCGCTGTCGTCGTATCAAAGGCCATGGGCGACGACCATGGCAAAGATCTACAGATATATCAACTCAGTGTCTACGACAAGTGTCGTTCCACTCCATCTATGCAGTACATAGAAAAACACATCACACAATGTCGACGGCATCATCAAAGGAAAATTCTCTCCCCTCCGACGTCGTAGTGGCCGAAGCTTCGGCCTCAAAAAGCGTCGTTGTCGAACATCCAAAGGCCGATGCAGATGCTGTCGCAAAGGCCGAAGATCATATAATCCCGCCTGCAATCCAGCCACTTCAATTGAGTGACGAACCCTCTCATGCTGCTCCTCACACAGAACCGGAGTTGATACCTCCCGTATATATCACAGGATGGAGGCTCTACGCCATCATATCCGGGTATGTAACGCTGGTTCCGTTTCGTCGGCCGCCTTGGCTAATACCTGAACCTCTAGATTGTGCATGTCGCTCTTCTTGTCCACGCTTGAGACCACCATCGTTAGCACGTCACTTGTCTCCATTACCAACGCTTTACACGGGTTTGAGCAGCGGGATTGGATCGTCACCTCGTATCTGCTTACTTACACTGGTAAGCCTGCACCTCAAGGTCTTCTTCTTGTTCATTGTGTTGCCGCCGTCTGACACTGGCCAGGATTTCTCATCATATTCGCCAAGTTCAGTGACGTGCTAGGCAGAAAATTCGTCGTTCTCCTGTCTTTGGCCATCTTCACGATATTTTCCATCGTGTGCGGTGTAATATCGTCCATGGTACAGCTGTAAGACAGCCCGAGCCGTTCGTCATCTGATATCGAAACTGACTTGGGAGGGCAGTATCATCTTCCGTGCCTTTCAGGGAGTCGGAGCGTCTGGCATATATGCCATGGTCAATGTGATTAACCCTGAACTGGTTCCGTCCGACAAATGGGGCAATATCGTCGCTGGCACCTCGCTTGTTCTCGTCTTCAGCTCCGTGCTAGGCCCAGTCCTAGGAGGCGTAATCAACGACCACTCGAGTTGGCGATGGGTCTTTTTACTCAAGTGTGTTTTCCCTTCCTCTTCCCCTCAATTGGACATATCGCAGGATTCGCACTTATCGTCCATGGTAGTGCGCCGACGGGCGCTTTTGCAACCGCTCTCCTCGCGTTCCTTTTGCCGTCCAATTTTCCGCACCAGGGCCGCGGGGTAAATCAGCCAAGCATGCGGGACAAGTTCAGCGGAGCCGTAATCGCCAGGCTAGACTTTGTAGGAGCCGCCGTGCTGCTCGCAGCATCAATCCTTCTCGTCTTTGGCTTCGAGGAGGCCGGCTCAAGATATCCGTGGAACAGCCCCATCGTCATTTCTACGATTGTTTGCGGAGGCAGTCTCTTTTTGGCCTTCATTGCATGTGAGTACGTGGTTGGCAAGCCAAAGTATCCACAAGAGCCCGTATTCCCTCTGCGGCTGTTGAAGGATCGACACTTTGTTGGCCTGTTTTTGTGAGTCTTCTCCAACTTTGCTGCAGCGCCGAGGCGTAGCTCACCAGTTGTGTCAGGACCGCCTTCTTCACCGGCCTGCCGTTCATGACCGCCTTGATCAACCTCCCGCAGCGCTTCCAAGCCGTCCACGGATTGACTCCCTTTGCTGCGGGCGTCCATACGCTCCCTCTCCTCCTCAGCTCTCCACTTGCCGCCGCAGTGTCTGGCCCGTTGACCACCAAGATAGACGTGCCGCCTTTCTATCTGTTGCTATTTGGGGCGTGCATGCAGATTCTGGGCGTGGGCCTCGCTAGCTCCGTAACTCCCGATAGATTGAGAGAATTGCTGGGGTTCGAAGCGATAATGGGCTTTGGCTTTGGTATGACACTGGTGACGGTCCTCATCTATGTCCCTTTCCTGGTTGACCGGCGGGACCTTGGTAAGCATCACCTTGCAGCTGTCATGCATTTACCTGACGAATAAACATAGCCGTTTCAATGGGAGCCGTAACACAGTTTCGGACATTGGGGGGCACCATTGGCTTGGCCGTGGGGTGAGTGCCTCTTCTCCATCAAACATGTCGTCTCACGTTGTTGCAAGTTGCTGATTCGTCTTCCTATGCAGGGCAACCATTCTCAACAACCACCTCGCATCCAGTCTCCCAAACTACCTCACCCCCTCAGAGATGCAATCCATTTCCGATTCGGTTCAATTCATAGACAGCCTACCAGCCCCCACACGGACTGCCGTTCGATCCGTGTTCAGCGAGGGTTACAACGAGCAGCTCCGTACCATGCTCTACTTTAGCGTCGCCGTTCTCGTCTCCTTGACACTCATGTGGGATCGAAACCTTAAACGGGCCCGTGACATGAAGGGGTATTGAAATTGCTCCGATGTTGGAACGTTCCAGTGCCCGTACACCATGGGGATATGAACATCGGCCAAGCTTTGGGACGGACCTGCCCTTAGGATTGGAAGGTTCAGACGCCGTGAACACCTCTTGGAGCTACACGCAAAACTTGGAGAAGTAATAGTCAGTCCAGCGGGGGAAGCTGATGCTTGATAAGAAGACCCAATTGGGGGCGGCGATGCACACAGGAGAGCTCGAC